CCCCAAAACCCCAAAACCCCAAAACCCCATTAAGCCATTTAGTTTTAAAAAGATGTAATTTATAATCAAAAATACTTTCTATCTAGATTTGATTTAATTAAGTCAGGCCCATTTCCTTTGAGAATTTTACTGTCACTGCATAATTTTGTTGAATTTTCCTATTTTTTCTATTCCTCTTCTAATTTTCTATCATCTGATACTTTCTTGAATACATGTAATTATTATTGAAGAAATCCTTCAGTTGATATTCTTATTTTGCTCATTAGATCAAGTACAGCGATGGACATCTCATTGAAAGCTTCGATTTTATACCCATAGATCCCATCCAATTTATACCATTATTGGAATAAGGGATCCCATTTAATAAGTTAGAAGTAATAATCATTCAACTCTCCTGGTTTTTTGTTGAAATTCAGAGCCCAAAGACCTCTATAAGCACCTACACTAATATCCTTTTCACAGAACCCTCCATAACTTCCCATTAATGTTTCATTTTTATCAACCATAGCTCATCATTCATGAATTCGATGGTTTCAAATTTGCCATCCTCAAAGACTTTATACTGATAACCTTACTTCTCATATTTTATCCATTTTTCATACTGCTCTCCCTTATAAAGTGAAAATACAGTCATATATATTTTTCCTGTAACAGATATTCCAAAGTCAGATACGTAGTCTCTTAGTACTATAGTTGAGTTCTTTTCAACTCTTCTCAAAGTCTAGTTCTAGTCTATGATATACATTCTACCAAGTTAGTCAAACTTAGTATCATAAACTTTATCAGCTTGAGGAATTGGAGTCCACTCACCTCAAGGAAAACTGTAATTTTATACTGTCTTTAAAAATATTTATGATGTGTAGTCATCAACTATACTCCAAGAGGTGACACGTAAACTTCAGAGAATCCTTTGTATTTTGGAAGACCTTTAGTTCCTACATAAGTCCATCCTTTGATGCTCAACTATTAATCGAGCCAAAGCTGAGAGAGCCCTCAACAATTTCCGAAGGTGAATTAATAATTTCTTGACTAAATAACTAAAGGACAAGTAGAGTTAATCCAGTAAGATCAAAAAATCCAAAGAATTTTGCTTTTCTAATTTTATGCTTATTTTTAATTATATTCTTGAAATAGCTTTTTATTAAACCTAAGTTTATTTCAATATCCTTTTCCATAAAGCATGTTTTATAGGAATAGTTAACT